AGGGTTTTTGCATCTATCTTCATCAGAGATATAGGCCTGTGATTTTCTTTTTTGTGTGTTGTCCTTGCCTGGTTATGGTATTGGGGTAACGCTGGCCTTGTAAAATGAGTTAGGAAGTATTCCCTCTTCTTGAATTTTTTGGAAGAGCTTGTGGAGGATAGGTCTTACACATTCTTTGAATGTTTGGTAGAACTCATTAGTGAAGCCATCTGCTCCTGGACTTTTACTGGTTGGGAAGTTTTTGATGACTATTTTAATTTCCTTATTGCTGATCATTTTAGGTTTTCCAGTTCTTCATGGTTCAGTCTAGAAAGATGGTATATTTCCAAGAATTTGTTCTGTCTTCCAGGCTATCAAATTTGGTGAAGGTAGGCCTTCATAGTATTCCTGTATAGTCTTTTGGTGTCCACTGTAACTTCTCTTTCATTTCTGATAATATTTTAGTCTTTTTTTTTCTTTCCTAGACAGAGGTTTGTTAATCTTACTTATTTTTTCAAAGAACCAGCTCTTTGTTTCATTAACTTTTTCTAGTCTTTTTGTTCTCTATTTCATTTAATTGTGCTGTAATTTTTGTTGTTGTTAATCTTCACCCAAGTATATTTTTCCATTGATTTTTAGAAAGAGTGGAGGAGAGAGGGAAAGACAGAGAAACATCAGTGTGTGAGAAACACATTGATTGGTTGCCTCTTACATGAGCCCTGACCAGGGCCTGGGCTGGGGAGGAGCCCGCAACCAAGGTACATGCTATTGACTAGAATCGAACCCAGGACTCTGGTCCACAGGCCGACACCCTGTCCACTTAGCCAAACCGGATAGGGCTCTGCTGTAATTTAAAAATATATTTTATTGATTTTTTACAGAGAGGAGGAGAGAGGGATAGAGAGCTAGAAACATCCATGAGAGAGAGTCATCGATCAGCTGCCTCTTGCACACCCCCTACTGGGGATGTGCCCGCAACCAAGGTACATGCCCTTGATCGGAATCGAACCTGGGACCCTTCAGTTCGCAGACCAACGCTCTACCACTGAGCCAAACCGGTTTTGGCTCTGCTGTAATTTTAATTTCCCTTTTTTCTTCTTACTTTGGTCTTTATTTGTTCTTTTTCTATTCAATATTATAGTTCTCTAAGGTGAAATGTTAGATTGTTTATTTGGGATTTTTCTCTCCCCTCTCCCCCCTAGTGCATTACAATAGATTTACTTTAAAAATATATCCCATAGCATGGAACAGAATGCCAATCTCAAAGGGAAGGAGGGAGAGGGAAGGTGGGAGAGGGAACCAAAGACCTTGTATGCATACATGCATAGCTCATGGATGCAGACAGTAGAGTAGTGAGGGCCCAGGGTAGGGGGCAGGAGTGGGCTGGAGGGGGTTGATGGGGGATAAAAGGGGACATATGTAATACTTTCAACACTAAAGATTTAAAAAATAAAAATAAAAATCCTTCTAAACAGAAAAAAATATACATATATTCTTTTATAAAAGTTTCATAGAACATTGGCACGTTAACATGTGACAGGCTCTCAAAGCATGTCACCAATTCTGTGAAAGCAAGAATGCTTCTAATTGTTGTCAACATCACAACTACAAGTCCCCATCTGAGTTTTAAACATATACAAGTTTATTTTTTTAAATTAAATCTTTATTGTTCATATTATTACAAATGTTCCTCTTCCCCCTCCCCCCCCTTCCATTGCTCTCCTCCACCAGGTTCCCACCCCACCCTCTGCCCTTTCCCCACCCCCCATTGTCCTCATCCATAGGTGCACAGTTTATGTTCAGTCTCTTCCCACATCCCCCTCTCCCCTTTTCCCCAAGAATCATCAGTTCACTCCCCTTCCATACCTCTGATTCTATTATATTCAACAGTTAATATTGTTCATCAGTTTTGTTTTGTTTTAATTTCCTTGGTTTTTAGATTCACTTGTTGATAGTTACATATTTGTTGTTCATAATTTTTATCTTTATTTTCTTTCTCTTCCTAAAGAACCCCCTTCAGCAATTCATATAATTCTGGTTTATTGGTGATGAACTCCTTTAGCTTTTTTTTTATTAGTGAAGCTCTTTATCTGGCCTTTGATTCTGAGTGATAGCTTTGCTGGGTAGATTATTTTTGGCTGTAGGTTCTTACTATTCATCACCTTGAATATTTCTTGCCATTTCCGTCTGGCCTGCATGGTTTCTGTTGAGAAATCAGCTGACAATCGTATAGGTGCTCCTTTATAGGTAACTACCTGCTTTTCTCTTGCTGCTTTTAATATTCTCTTTTTGTCTTTTGCTCTTGGAATTTTAATTATGATTTGTCTTGGTGTGGTCTTCTTTGGATTCCTTTTGTTTGGAGTTCTGTGCACTTCCTGGACTTGTAAGTCTAATTCTTTCACCAAGTGGGGAAAGTTTTCTGTCACTATTTCTTTCAGTATGTTTTTGGTATCTTGCTCTCTCTCATCTTCTGGGACCCCCATAATTCTGATGTTTGTTCACTTGAAGTTGTCCCAGAGGTTTCTTAAATTATCTTCAATTTTCTGGATTCTCTTGCCTTCTTGCTTCTGCGGAGGACTGTCTTCTGGCTCTTTATGTTCCAAATCTTTGACTTGATTCTTGCGATCTTCCATTTTGTTTTTAGGACTCTGTATAATATTTTTTTATTTCAGACAATGTATTTTTTATTTCTTGTTGATCCCTTATTATTTCTTGTTGATTCTTTATTAATTCTAGTTGATCCCTTTTCATATCCTCATAGGTCTTATCGACCTTTCTAGGAAATTCTTGAAAAACCTTATAAGCGTAGATTTGAACTCTATATCCAGTTGTTTTTTGTCCTCCATTTCTTTCATTTGTGATCTATTTTTTTTGTCTCGGCATTTTCGCAGCTTCCCTGATGGGGCGCAGTTTCAGGGTGGAGCCTACAGCCTTGGCTTCCCTCAGCCTCGCCCTATGTGGCTCCTGAGTCTCAATATTCCCCAGGGTCCTTCAGTACTCGTTGCAAGCACCTCTGAGAGAAAGGTGCCCTCGATTTTCGCCTGCTACCAAACAGTCTAGGCTCTCCCCCAATGAGCCCGGAACTGGGGTTCAGTTCAGTTGGAAGTGGGGCTGGAGGTGGCGCTGAGAGCAGTGTGGAGCTTTTGTCTCCTTCCCACCAGGGCAATCCCGTGGCACAGCCAACCATCCCTTCTCTGCGCACAATGTGCGTGCCTCCGGGACCTCCTTTCCCAGCTCCCCCGGGGTTCCGTCTTACAGCCCAGCTCCCTCTGTTTGAGCCTGGGTCCCCGGAGTCTGGCCTAGAACTGGGGTTCAGAGCAGTTGGAACTGGGGCCCAGCACAGTCCGGAGCCTTTGTCTCCTTCCAGCCAGGGCAATCCAGCGGCACAGTCAACAGTCTGTCCTCTGTGCGCAATGTGTGCGCCTCCGGGGGCTCTGCCTTTCGCCGCTCCCCTGGGATTCCGCCTCACAGCCCAAGCTTCCTCTGTTTGAGCCTGGGTCCCCAGGGTCTGGCCTAAAACTGGGGTTCAGTGCTGTCGGGTCTGGGGTTCAGCACAGAAGGAGCTTTTATCTCCTTCCCGCTAGGGGACACCAGCCAGGCACTCAGCCTCCCTCCTCTCTGGCTCCGTCCTCTCCGCGCGCCGCGTGTCTCCGTACCTTAGGCTTTTACAGCTCCTCCGCGCTTCCTTCTGGTTTTCTCCTTGCTTCTCGTTGTAGAATTTCCAGTCAGTCGACTTTCCTGTAGTTCTGGGTAATGTCCATTTTATATTTTAGTTGTATTTTATTGAAATTGTTGTGTGCGGCTGCGGTTAGGTGTTTATCTGTGCAGCCATCTTGGATTCTCTTCTCTAAATAACATACACAAGTTTTAAAATAAAAAGTGAATGCAACAGTAGAACGTTCCTGTAGCAATGCTTATTAGTTAATTAACATTAGTTAATTTGTTAGATGTAGATGGTTAATAATCATTTACAATATCAACTTATCTGCCAAAAAAATCCGCAGAAAAACAAAAGACCTTTCAGTAAGTTTCATAATCCAAAATTGCTTGCTATTTGCTGACTTCTCCTTTTTCTTCTTTGTTGGCTCTCCTGATTCTACTCTGTGCTCTGTATTTTTTTTCTAGAGGCCTGGTGCATGAAATTTGTGAAGTGGGTTTCCCTCAGCCCAGCCTGTGCTCTCTCCAGTCCGAACCCCTTGGGGGATGTCTGACTGCCTGTTTAGTCCTGACCCGGTGGATCTGTTTAGGCCCGGTCCCTAAACCGGCAGTCGGACATCCCTCTCACAATCCTGGACTGCTGGCTCCTAGTCACTCACCTGCCTGCCCCTAACTATCTCCCCCCTACCCTCCCACCAGCCTGGTCACCCCTAAGAGTTCTCCCACCCCCTCGGTGGCCTGGTTGCCTCTCACTGCCCCCCTGCTGGCCTGATTGCTCCCAATGTCCTCCTGCCTGTTAGACCAGCCACGCCACAGCCAGCTGGAGGGCGGGTTTGCTCTGGGGTGTGGTCTCTCTCCAGAGGGGAGAGGGTCTGACTTCCAGGTTTTGGATTCCGTGGGAGGCTCCTTGGCCACGTGCCTTCCCAGGCTGCCTGTTTGCCGAGCGGTTTGTAGAGAAAGGAGGGTGGTCCCTGCCTGGCCCCCATCGGTTTCCTCGCAATGGGTGAGGGGGGAGGCTGGGGGAGGAGGGTTCTCGCATCCGCCACTTGGTTCCACCGGGGCTAGCCGGAACGTGTACTGGCCACTCAGGCCAGAAGGCTGCTACTGCCCCTTTGTGACCCCTGAGGAGGGCAATCACCCAGCACCCCGACCTGCCCCTCTGCCCCATCACCCCCTGTGGCCCCGCCGTGACGTGTGTGGCCGTCCAGGCTGCTGCTGCCGCGGCCCCGGGGCTGCTGGTTGCTGAGTGGGTGCTGCCCTCTCACCTGCAAACTCCTGTGCTGGGCGTCTGCCAGGCTGGGCTGTGTCTGTCTGTCCTCCCTCCCCCGCTCCCGCCCTGCTCCGGCGCAGACACCCACCTCCAGGTGTCCCGGGCGCTGATGTCTCAGCCAGGCTGTGTCGCAGGGAATTCTTTGTGGGATTGAAGTTGTGCAACTTGTAACTCCTCGGGGAGAGGCTGTGCTTCGTGTGCCGCCCGGGCGTGGTGTCAGACCAGCCTCGGGCCCTCCGTGTCCCCTCCTGTGCCTGCCGCTCTAAGGAGGATAGTCATCTGGTGTCTGGACAAACAGATAAAAATGCAGCAAATAAGAAGCCAAGAGGGGAAGAGAGGCAGAGACGACCCTCAGAGGCAGCATCTGGCAGCTGGCATTGCAATGCTGACTGTCACAAAGGAGCTCAGCACATGGGCCCCTCCAGGTGCCCCGCTGCCCAGCCCTGCCCGGGTCTCTCAGCCTGCTTCCCCCCGCCCCCCTGGCCCCCGGCCCAGCTGCAGGGCTGACTCCTGCCAGGCCGGGGTCGTGGACCTGCGCCTGCACCGAGTCCCGTTTCTGTTCCGGTTGGCCGTGGAGGTCAATAGTTTGCCCTCCATGGAGTGTAGGTGTACGTTGCCAAAGTAGCTAAGCTAGCTGACTGCCCGCCCCCCATGTCAGATATCCTATTAATAAAAGGCTAATATGCAAATCGGCCAAACGGAGGAACAACTGGTTGCTATGACACACACTGACCACCAGGGGAGCAGACGCTCAACACAGGAGCTGTCCGCTGGTGGTCAGTGTGCTCCCACAGGGGAAGCGTGGCTCTGCTGGACGCCCTGAGCCAGGCTCACGGTGGGCGAGCACAGCGGCGGGCGGTGGCAGGCGCCTCTCCCACCTGCGCAGCGGCACTAAGGGTGTCCCCCTGCCAGCTTAGGCCGGCTCCCCGCCGTGCGGAGGGACCGACCACCCGGAGTGCACAGGTTCTGTGCTCCGGGCCTCGTGTAGGAAATAAAAGACAGGGAGCTAGGGTTCCTTTCGTGAGGGGAGGGCAGCCATATACAGTTGTAGGCCCTGTGGGCATCCAGATATTACAAGGCAGGATAATAATTGTCCTACGGATGGGGCCTCCGTCGTTACGTTGAATTACGTTTATCTTTTTGAGAAAAGCGGGGAAGAGTGTGATGTGTTTTGGAAGTTCTGATCCCAGATGGACCAGACACCTTGCTGCTCAGGGAGCACCGAGCCATAGCCGCTACGGAACCGTCCAGAATGGCTTGTCTTTATGGTTCCAGAGCGGCAGCTCAGAGGGAGATAGTACAAGGTCCTGTCTGTGTTCCTTACGGCCCAAATGGACACCTTCCTCTGGAGCCAGGTCCTCTCCCAGGCCAGGCCTGCGCCAGCCTGAGCCTCGGCTCGCCTGGGTGCTGGGGCCTCCCTGTGCACCCGGTGTCCGCTCCCTGTGCACCCGGTGTCCCCTCCCTGTGCACCCGGTGTCCGCTCCCTGTGCACCCGGCCTGTCCCCTCCTCCCTGTGCACCCGGTGTCCCCTCCCTGTGCACCCGGCCTGTCCCCTCCTCCCTGTGCACCCAGCTGGTCCCCTCCCTGTGCACCCGGTGTCCCCTCCCTGTGCACCTGGCAGGTCCCCTCCCTGTCCCGGGTGCTTCCCTGTTTGTCTTGGCAGACAGCACCTCCCACTCCCCTGGGCCACCGCATCCCCCTCTCCCTTCTCCGGGCCTCGGCGGCCTGCGTCATGGCACCATGGCGGCACCGGGGAGGAACAATGGCTCCTTTCTGGTGCTGACACCATGTTGTGGTGAAAATGCCAGGCCTGTCAGCTCATCTCCCAGACAGGCTCAGGCTGAGACAGCCTTGAAGCGCTGGACGCGGTTGGATGGAAACAGCAGCCAGTCAGAGTCCAATGTGACTCGGAAACCACAGACCATTCCCCCCCCCCCCCCCCCCCAAACCAGCACCGCGCTTCACGATCACAAGGAAACCCAGCGAATGGAAAATTTTAGGGTCAAAGAGGACAGGGAGTTAGAAAGAAGGCAACAAGCGTGACGCTGCCCGCCTGTGGCTCACGGCGATGGCGTACGTGTCCCAGGAGACAGGGGGTGGGGGGGACCCTACGGAGGGGACCCTCTTTCCTGGCCACGTTCCCTCATTCACGACGGGCCTGGCTGGGCCGATGGCGTAATGGACTTAGTGACCCCCCTTAGCCGGGTCACCGCCCCTCAGGCTCCCCCCAGGGACCGGAGGCCCCAGAGCAGCCCCAGGCCTGATGGACGAGGAGTTGCCATGGGCTCCACCGGGGCTGCTGCGACCACAGACTCAGAGGAGCTGTGAGGACTTGGGGGGCAGTGAAGGCACCGGGGCTCCCCGGGCTTCCCAGGGCGTGACCCCGGGCAGCGGCCTCCGTGGGGACCGGGGCAGGAGCCCGGGCAATGGGACCCGCCCTCTCCCCGCGCGGCCTGCAGGGGCGCTCCTGAGCCCTCCTGTCTCCGAGCTGCTGCTCCCGCTCCTCTCCCCCCGCGGCCCCGCCTGTCCCCCGCTTTGGGCAGCACCCCGACCCTGTTCTGCACTAGCTCCGTGGTCTGCAAACCGCGGCTCGCGATCCACATGCGGCTCTTTGGCCCCTTGAGTGTGGCTCTTCCACAAAATACCACGGCCTGGGCGAGTCTAGTTTGAAGAAGTGGCGTTAGAAGTTTAAAAAATTCGGCTCTCCGAAGGAATTTCAGTGGTTGTGCTGCTGTTGTTTGGCTCTGCTGACGCGTGAGTTTGCCGACCACTGCACTCGCCGCCTCTGAGCTCCCGTCCCTCCGGCCACCCTCCGCCTCGGAGCACCCAGACCTCCCGCCCCCTCCACGCCGGGACCCAGCCGCCCAGCTCTCCTGTCCGACCCCAGGAAAACCCCGCTGGCTCCATGTGCTTTCCCGCTGCCTGGAGGCCGGGCCGGCCTGGCTGTCCCCAGCAGAGCGGGATCCCGCGGGAGCTGCGGGGTCTGCGAGGCGGCCCTGGGGCCGGGCCGGGCCCAGCGGGTTCTGTAAGGTGCAGAGCGGGGTTCTCCCCGGCAAACGGGGAGAGAGCTCCGTGGCTGAAGGACTCCTTCGCTGTGGCCTCTAGTCCCCCCACCCCCGCTAACAGGCTGGGAGCCGATGACCCTCACACCCTCTCTCCACGGGGTGAGGGTCCGAGTAGGTAAAAGTGCCATTTGCCCCGTCCCGGCTGCTGCTCTGGGAACACACAGTTCGCTGTTAACCCCCAGGAGGCGGTGCGTCCCCGAACCCCGGACACGCAGGCCCGGGTGGGGGCCGAGGGACCCACCACCGTCCCACGGCCGCCGAGCGGCGGGATCTGTGCTCCGTGTGTCTGGCGTCAGAGTCCCTGCCCTTCCCATGCCCTTCACCAGCTGAATCCACGTGCCATTGGCCCTGGGCACCCCTGGGCCGGGGCTGGGGTGCGGGGGGAGTTGGCAGTGAGATGTCGAGGCTGGGGCCCAGCTCCTGGCTCTGGAACAGGGGTCCATTGTGTGGGCCAGGGCTCCAGCACCAGCAGCCGCGCTGCCCTTGGCCTGTGCCCTCTCTGAAGGGCAGGCGAAGAGCGGCCATCAGCCGGCGTCCATCAGAAGGCTCTCGGTGAGCCGAAACCGGTTTGGCTCAATGGATAGAGCGTCGGCCTGCAGACTGAAAGGTCCCGGGTTCGATTCCGGTCAAGGGCATGTACCTTGGTTGTGGGCACATCCCCAGTAGGGGGTGTGCAAGAGGCAGCTGATCGATGATTCTCTCTCATCGATGTTTCTCTCTATCACTCTCTCTTCCTCTCTGTTAAAAATCAATAAAATATATTTAAGAAAAAAGAAAAAAGAAAAAAAGAAAAATAAAAATAAAGGAAGGCTCTCGTCGGCTCAGTTCAGGGGGCAGGAGGTCAGGCCAGGCACCGCTCTGACGCTCGGCCAGGCTCGGCTCTGCCGCGTCCGCTGCTTTGGGGTGATGGAGCTCGCCCCAGTGGCTGGAACAGATGCATTTTGTGGGGACACATGCGTCCCAGCAGCTTGGTGGCCTGGGGGCGCGCCCAGGGCCCTGCATCCAGAGGGAGGCGCAGACACACACGCCGGCCTCCCCGCCGGCTCCGTCCCGGCCCCCGTGTGGGCAGGTCGTGCCCGGAGGTGCCGGCTGAGGCAGCCGCAGGCAGCGGCGGTGGCCGGGACAGTTGCCGAGACCCAGGAAATGCCAGGCGGGACCTGGCAAGGGAGTGCAGGCCCCGGCAATGCCCCTGCCAGGCCCCTGGCCGGGCCCCAGCGTGCTGGCCGGGAGCGAGGGGCCGGAAGCAGCTCGTTCCTGCCCTCCGGGGTGTCCCGTCCACAAAGGCCGCCCTGTGTGGCCTTGACGTGAGTTCTCCCGAGTCAGGACACGGGGCGGCCAACCCGATAGGCTACCTGGCCACGGCGGTGCCACGGGCCGGCACCCCGCCCGCCACGTGAGCCAGGGGGCCCGGTGGGAGGCGCTCTTCCTGGGAGCGGGGCGGGACGGCCAGCCGGACGTGGTCCCTGTGCCTACAGCTGGGCCCGCAGCCTTTAAAAGGAGGGCGCCCCGAGCCGGCCCCGGATCCGCACCTGCAGCCATGAGGCCTCTGGTCGTCCTGCCATACCTGTCCCTGCTGCTCCTGGGAGCCCTGGCCGCGCACGACTGGACGTACACAAGTGAGACCCCCCTCCCCCCGGGCTGCGGGCCCCGGGGCCCCGGGGAGAGCTCCCCGCATGCGATGGGGTGTGCCCTCCGCTGCCGGCTGCGGGGTGCGGGGTGCGGGGTGCGGGGTGTGTGGGTGAGGAGCACGCACCGACTGCAGCCGCGATGCGGGAAAGGGATGCTCGCCCCTCACAGGCCCCGGCCCCCCGCCGCTCCTGGGCGCTGACCGTTCCTGCGCCCGGGCTGGCCGGCCCCCGCCCTGTCTGTCTGCAAAGCCCTTTGCGCTCCTGGCCTGTGGGTGGGAATAAAGTTGTCACAAAGGGCTGCCCGCTGGCCTGGGGGTGGGGGTGGGGGTGCAGCTCAGTGGGTTGGAGCATCGTCTCGCACTCCAAAGGCTAGGGGTTTGATGGCTAGTAGGGCTCACACCTAGGTTGCGGGTTCGATCCCCAGTTGGGATATGTATGGAAGGCGACCAATAGCTGTTTCTCTCTTACATCAGTGTTCCTCCCTCCTCCCTCCTCCCTCCCTTTCTCACTCCCTCTCTCTTCCTCCCTCCCTCCTCCCTCCCTCCCTCTTTAAAACTAATAAAAACTCATCCTCTGGTGAGGATTCACAAACAAAACAAAAACAGAAACCAGGGGCTGCTGCAGCCTGCAGGGCCCGGGGGCGTTCTCAGCTGTCTCAGGAGACAGACCGCCCCAGACCGTCCGGACGCCGAGGACCGGCCCCCGCCCCCGCCTTTGGGGGCCCCCAGCTGCCCCCCTCGGCTGCCAGGACCTGCTGACACGAATCTACACTTCACTGAACCCCGACTTTTACCTGTGAAATCAAAGCCCCTGGCGTTTAGCCCTGTGGCGCCGAGGACAGGAGACCACGTCTGTGGGGCGTGGACACGAAACAGCCCTGCCCCGTGGCAGGGCCCAGAGTGCCTGCCTCCCCGCCCTCATCTTCTCTGAGCTGCCCTGCGGCTCAGGCCCCGCAGGACATGAGCGGCCACTGGCCGACACAGCGCCAGGAGCAGATTCGGCGTGCACCCGGCACGGCCGCCCCCCCCCGCCCCCGACATGGGGAAGCACCCATTCTGGGGACCTCTGTCCCGTAGGCCAAGGGCAGAGGGACTAGGACACTGCAGGGAGACCCGGGGTGGACACTGGCCAGCCCTGGCTGCTGCTGGGTGCTGGGTGCTGGGTGCTGGGTGTGGGCCGAGGAGCCACGAGGCCATGGCCTGCTGGGAGGGCGAGGAAGAGAGGGAATGCCAACAGCCTGGCCGCAGGGCCTGTGGGCCTCGGACAGCCTCCCGGGGCCCGGAGAGCTGGGCAGCCACTGCGAGGCCTGCGGGAATCCTGAGGCCTCCCGCCCCCGTGTGGCAGGGCCTTCGAGCTGTGCTCCCGCCTCCCGGAGAGAACTGTGTGAACCTGGTCTGCACGTCCCACAGAGAAGCACAGGATGACTATTGCAAAGCCAGGAAGCTGCTCACAGCCCGGTCCAAATCCTCCTTACCCAGCTGTGCCCTCCCCCCTGCGGGGGGGCGGAGCTGGACCCACAGCCATGGGCTGAGGCCAGGACCCACACCCACAGCTGTCCTGAGGCCATCACTCTCCCCACTGTGGCTGTGAGAGAGAATTTTCCTTACTTTGAGACACACACACACACACACACACACACACACAGTGTACTGATTTCAGAGAGGAAGGGAGAGGGAGAGAGAGAAACATCAATGATGAGAGAGAATCATGGATCGGCTGCCTCCTGCACGCCCCACACTGGGGATGGAGCCCACAACCCGGGCCTGTGCCCTGACCGGGAATCGAACTCTGACCTCCTGGTTCATAGGTCGCCGCTCAGCCCCTGAGCCACCGGCCGGGCTGCTCTGATAAGTGTTAACCAACCATTTGCTCATCTCTGGACCTGGTGCTTCCCTTCTTGCCCGGCACCTGCCCTCAGGCACTGGAACCGGGGGAAGGACGGGCAGGAAGCAGGCGGAGGCCCTGGCGGTGGTGGGGCCGAGTCACCGTCAGAGGCGGGGCTGCGCAGGACCCTGGGCGTCCGGGGAAACGAGGAAAATCCACGCTCTCCGTTGGCACAGGCCCTGGGCCCGGCGATGCCCTCACTCAGTGGATAGCGGCCCCCTCAGAGGGAAAACGGAGGCTGTGTAGTCACCACTGTTTTCAAAACACCAGGCGGTGCCCTAACCGGTTTGGCTCAGTGGATAGAGCATCGGCCTGCGGACTGGAGGGACCCACGTTTGATTCTGTCTGGGTTGTGGGCTCGATCCCCAGTGGGGGTCATGCAGGAGGCAGCTGACTGATGCTTCTGTCTCATCAATGTTTCTAGCTCTCTATCCTTCTCCCTTCCTCTCTGTTAAAAAACATATTAAATACACATACACACGCGCGCATGCATGCACACGCACATACCACACACACATGCACATGCGCACACACACTCACACACACACATGCACACACCATGTCTTGTCTGCAGGGCAGGCACTGCCACAGGGAAGCCCAGACACGGGGCCCCTGGAGTGGATTCAGATGCTCCCCCACCCCCTTCTGAGGCCCCACATCTGCTTTCTGGAGGGCAGCCTGGCCTTGACCCTGGCATCCTGCCGGCCACTGGGGGCCCCGGCTGGGCAGGCCCTGCTGAGAGCGGCAGGCTCTGACCTCGGCCCCAGGTGGGGTGCCCCGGGAGGGCCCTGACCTGTGCTCCCCTCTGCTCTCCCCCAGAGGGGCCGGGGGATGAGACACACTGGCACGAGGCGTACCCCACCTGCGGGGGGGACCGGCAGTCGCCCATCGACGTGCAGAGGAGGAAGGTGCAGTACAACCCCGCGCTGGGGGCACTGAACCTGACCGGCTACAGCTCACAGAACGGCTCCTTCTCCATGATCAACAATGGCCACACCGGTAAGGGGAGGGGCTGCTGCCGGGCGGCCGTGGGCTCACAGACCTGGGCGGTCACGGGCACACAGACCCCTGCGACCGCTGACCTGGAGCACAGCCTGAGGGTGGCCGGCGTCAGGCCCCGAAACGAAACGAGGAGGCTCTTCCGAAGGAGAGCGCCTCTCCCTCAGCCCATTACCCCGCTCACTCAGGCCCAACCGGAGGCAAACAGGTGACAGCAAACAGGTGACAGCAAACCAGGTGTCAGCAAACCCAGGTGACAGACAAACCAGGTGACAGCAAACAGGTGACAGCAAACCAGGTGTCAGCAAACCCAGGTGACAGCAAACAGGTGACAGCAAACAGGTGACAGCAAACCAGGTGTCAGCAAACCAGGTGACAGCAAACCCAGGTGACAGCAAACCCAGGTGACAGCAAACAGGTGACAGCAAACCAGGTGTCAGCAAACCCAGGTGACAGCAAACCAGGTGTCAGCAAACAGGTGTCAGCAAACCCAGGTGACAGCAAACAGGTGACAGCAAACCAGGTGTCAGCAAACCCAGGTGACAGCAAACCAGGTGTCAGCAAACCCAGGTGACAGCAAACAGGTGACAGCAAACCAGGTGTCAGCAAACCCAGGTGACAGCAAACAGGTGACAGCAAACCAGGTGACAGCAAACCAGGTGTCAGCAAACCCAGGTGACAGGGGCAAACTCAGGTGCAGGCAATGCCGCCGAAGCCACAGTGTGCTCCCTGGCTAGTGCCGTCTGATTGCCCTCCTTTTCCCTCTGGAGCCTGCTTAGCTCAGTGCCCACAGGAGGCCCAGCACTTCTCAGAGGCTGGAGAGAAGCCCTAGTTTCCCTTCCCTCCGGAAAGGGGGGAGGCAGACAGGAAAGCAGGTGTGGAGGGCCCCACGTCGGAAGTCTGGACCAGACAATGCAACAGCTGTGCTGTGCGTGTGCGGAACGTCAGCCAGAACACACTCACGGCTCACGCACGTCCCTCTGATTTCCCTCAGGCATTGTGAACGAGTTTCATAAATTTGCTTTGGAGATGATTTGTGACCCTTTGGAATGGCTTTGTTTCCAGCCAGCTCCACGCCCGTCCAGGTGGCCCTGCTGGGGCCGCTGAGCCAGCCTGTCCCGGCTCAGCGGGGACCGGGGAGGCCGCCTGCCCAGGAGGCCTGGCCCATCGGCCGCCTGCACCCCTT